ACAATTTTCTGACATTTGATAGACCAAATAAATAATTGATGAATTGATAACATGATCAGCAGGTTAATCTGTGAGGAAAATAATCGTTAGTTGGAAGTTACAAGTGTGTATTGTTTAAAGGTCAGATGACGCAGGAGTCCGAGGATGTCAGCCGTGTACATTGGTCAGAGGCTTTTTCCATCATCTGAGTCAAGGATGAAAGCCAGCTCTGTGGTGTAGCAGTGTTAAAGGAACAGTCCACCAATCTGACACATACAACTCAGACGCCTTAATAGACAGGGGGGGAGGAAGACTCAGCTGGAGCAGGTTCCTTCACACTCTGCGAAAAGTCATTGCCAGTTTAAGCAGTCTTGACTTGACTCACAGAGAAGAACAGAGTGTCCCTCAGTACTCATACAGCTCCATGATGACTGCACAGATTGTGACACACTGACATATGACACATGTGACAGATTTGTTGATGACCACAGATTATGACAAGTAAGCGGTGAAGAGTTGTATACACACACACACCACACACACAGGCAGAGCTGACAGAGGATCAACTTTAGTTGTCTATCTTGTAGCTTGCTACAATCCTAATTAAAATATGCCAGCGTCCACACACGTAGACGTGTTGTGGGGTGGTGTGTGTCATCTCGTGTGGGAGAAACTCGGCTCGTCGTGGCTGTGGCAAGATGAACGATGCTCCGTATGCCTGTGACTATCCCTTTCTGTCTGTTTTGTGTGTATATGGTTAGTTTGTGTGATGGATTGAAGTAAGGCTCTGTGTTAAATATCTCTGCTTCCTCTCCCCCTGGAATCAGAGTACTGACATATCGGGAGCATATTAGGCGGGACATGTTGAAGCAGAAGTGTCTCGGGCTCAGAGACGAGCTCTGGAGGGGCAGCAGGGGGGGGGGGGGGGCGTGTTATATAAGGCATCATCCACAACAAGCTCAATGAGTGTGTTATTTTTCCCAACTACACGGACTGGAGATTCACCCTCCTGTGAACAGGGCTTATTTGCATTATTGATTGATTATTTTTTTCAATAAAATTTCCCAAAACCCACAGTAACATCTTAAGATAGTTGTTCAACAGAACCCTCAGATTTCTACTGATATAAAATACAGAAAGCAGCAAACCAGCAAATGTTTGACATTTACTCTCACTAAATTACTCAAAATAGTTGATTTTTTTGTAGATACTAACTACTTGCGAGTAATTAGAATGACAATAATAAATTCACTTTCCCAGTCAATCCATTCTTTAGAAGTAGAAATCTCATGTTGACACTAGGGCTGTGTATTGGCAAGAATCTGGCGATACGATATGTATTACGATACAGGGGTTACGATTCAGTATACTGCGATATATTGCTCATTTAAAAATATATGATTTTAGGAAAACTGTAATAGTATAGATTATGCACCACTGAGCAGACTGCTGCCTAGTGTATGAATATTTTCTTACACCCGGAGTTGGCACTGTAGCCAGCCTTTGAGTAA